GGTTGAGACACGGGACCACACTGAGGGGCTCACAGTTTCGAGGGGTCACGGTAAAAAAGAAGATACAGCAAAAGGCGGTGAGAGCTCAGCAGGTGCAGGACCACAGAGCTGGCCCCGGCCTGGGGGACAAGGGGACAGCTTCCTGGGAAGAATGACCCCAAGAAGCAAACAGGCCCACTGCGTGTGGGAGGGGCTGCATGTGCAGATGAGAAGGAGCTGCAGGGGCCCTCCCGGTGCCTCTGGTGGCAGGAGCCCACGCAAGGGCCAAGGCCAGGGGGCAGGGACTTGGTGGGTGGAAGGGCCACCCCTGCATGGCCCTCGGTGGACGGGCCGTGCAGCGGCCGAGCCACTGTCCCTGCCTGAGCCTGCCCAGCACCCGCCAGCAAGTGTGTCCCTCAGGCAGGACGAGGGGTGGGCAGGAAGCCTGGACCCCAGCCCCACCCTTCCTGCAGCCCCCGTGGCTCCGCCGCCACATGCACCATGAAGGACCAGCCAGGCCCTGCCACCGGGCAGTGACCACGTGCACCCTGGCCCCGTGCACAGGAACACGTAGAGGGCCCAGCTCAGGAGAGAGGACCCACCGGCCCCACCATGGCCCCCAGCCGTGCAGGGCCACCCGACCATGCAGGGCCCCCCAGCCGTGCAGGGTCCCCCGACCGTGCAGGGCCCCCTCTCACCCTGCTTGCTCTTCTTGCCCTCAAGACACTCCCGGGAGTCTTTACTCAGCTTTCGGGGCCGGCCCCGTTTCCGCTTCCCATGCTTAAGATCCCCCTTCTTGTAGTCGGGAAAGCCGTCTGTGGGGAGAGGTGGAAGGTCAGGAAAGGGAGGGATGGGGGCTGCTGGGGGACAACCCCCTTCCAGGAAAACCCTGAGGGGGTGGGGGCAGGGGACCAGCCCCTGAGCACTGCCAGTGGAACACCCATGGGGACCAGGAGGTTCCCTCCGCTCACCCCCAGAGAAGAGCTTGCTGTCCAGGGCGTCCAGGTCCACGTCGCTTCCACCGGAGTCTGAGGCCTGGGGGCTCTGAGAAGCACCAGTCCCTGGAGGGACGGGCCAGAGTGAGCCCCTTCCGGTCCTCCCAGAAAGCCCGGGGTCTAGTGCGGGGCGCCCGCGCTCAGGGCATCTGGGGAGGGGAGGCTGTGGGCAGATGCCCAAAGGCTCACCTGCGGTGGAGACGTCAGAGCTGCCCGGGGAGGGGGCCCCCGTGCCGAAGCTGCCCGGGTAGAAGGGGCTGGCCTGTCTGCAGTCCTCAGGCATCTCCTGGGCGAAGGGGCTTCCCTGGTCTGGGGGCAGGTGAGAGTTGAGAGGGGGCCCTGACTCTCCCAGCTGGGGGCGTGGGGCAGAGAGGGCACGGGACAGGCTGCGGGGGTGGGGGGGCTCACCCACAGGGCCCTGGTCCCCCAGGGCTTCCAGCGGCGCCACGCTGTCCTCCTCCAGAAGCTCCATGATCCAGCTGAGCTCGTCGGGGAAGCTGGAAGCTGATGAGAAGGGGCTCAGGGCCCAGGGGTCTCCCCTCCCCTCCCTGGGGCTCTCTCCCTGGTGGTGCGCTCGGGCCAGTCCCCAGACCAGCCTCCCTAACTGAGGGGGGGCGGGGCAGGAGGCGGGCTCCCCTCCAGGACTCACTGAGGCCCCACAGCTGGGAGTAGAGCTGGTCCCCCAGGGGCCCGAAGACCAGGCGCAGCTCCTCAGGGGCGCAGCGGCAGAGCGCGGCCCCGTCCATGTCACAGCGCGAGAGGTCGATGGCGCTGGCGTCATACTTGTGCTTGTCCACTTGGTAGCTGATCCAGTCCAGGACCTGCGCCTTGGACCAGAGCTGGGGCTGCTCTCCCAACCAGCTGGCCTTCTCTGCAAGGGGCCGGCACGGCGACGGGTCAGCCCCCTTCTGGGGCCAGCTGGGGATTCCGGGTTTCCCGCCTGGACTCTCAGAGCACCCCGCCAGGCGCGGCCCCCAAATCCCAACACCCCAGCTTCTTACAGCTCACCCCAGCCCTCCCCCTGCCCGATCCCCCACTTGTCCCGGGCTCTTAGGCGGATGTCTCCCCCTCCCCAAATGCCCAGCCCCTCCTGAGACCCACCTGTGCCCTCCAGGGGCACCTGCGGGCTGCCGAGTGCCAGCACCAGGTCATCGGCCCCGAAGGCGGCGGCAGGGGGAGCAGAGGCCAGACTGGGGTCCTCCGAGCTGTACATCGTACTGAAGTAATTGCTGAACACGTTGCTAATCTCACAGGTTGCAGCCATGGGGCTACCTGGGAAGGGAGGGCCAGGCCGCTGAGAGCGTGAAGGTCAACGTCTCGCAGGACACCCTCTCCTCAAGACGGGCTCCAGGGTCTCAGAGCCCAGGGGACGGAGGGTGTGCTGGTGGGGGGGCACAAGGCCTCCCGCTGGGCTCCCTCCCCTGCCCTGCTGGGCCCACGAGTGGGACCTGCAATCGTGGCCACTCTGTCCTTTGCAGGGACAGGCTCTCGGGCCCTCAGGACACCGCCCAGCCCTGCAACTCCTGCTTGGGCAGGCTCAGAACCAAGCTCCACCGGCCCCTCCCCAATCCCCCCGGGGCCAGTCGGGGGAATGTGACAGGCAGGGGTCCTACCTTGGCGGCCGAGGGTGTGGCAGGCGGGTTTAGGGGCAGCAGGCGGAGGAAATCCAGGGGGAAGGCTCCGCCAGGTAGCGCTGACACGCAGGCCACGCTCCCACCGCTGTGCGAGGTAGAGCTCTGAGCTCCGCCCGCGCCCGGGCCTTTATAGGCACCCGCGGTAACCTGAGCTGGTGGCTCATTGGTCGAGGGGATTTCCTGGCCTTTAGACTGGGCTCCTGGCCCCAGGTGATTTGCATATTTTGTGCCACTTGGCCGGGATCCAGGCCGGCGGTGCTGGGAAATCAGGCCCGGCTGGTTTAATGATTGTCAGGGTCTGTCATCCCGCACCCTCTGGGGTTGGGCACAGGGCAGTGGCCTGAGCGGGTGGCAGGTGGACGCTGGGTGGGCATCTGCACTTTCGGCCACCCTCTGGCTCAGGAAATTCCTCTGGGGGGGGCCAAGCCAGGGATGGGCTGGAGCGGGGAGGGGCGGGGAATCTGGGTCAGAACTGGGTCAGGAAGGCTCCTGGCCCCCAAACGTCTGCGGGTCTGAGGACAGGGGGCCTAGCAGGGAGGGAAGATATGGAGGTTTGGGGATCTTTCCCACGACGCCCGGGATTCAGGCTGGAAGACTCTCCAGACACCAGGCAATGTTCACGGCCTGCCAGCCTTGCCCAGGGCCCCAGCGTCCCCAGCATCCCCAGCCACAGGGCCACCGCTGGCACCCACTTAGTTGGCAACGTCTTGGCATCCTTTGCCCGCCAGACGCCATCCAAGCATCAGAGTCGCTGCAGTCCCCTCTGGAGGGCCTGGCTCTGCTCCAAAGAACTTACCCGGCCCCTGGCAGAGCCCACTGCGTGGGGCTGCTGAGGGAGGGGCCGGACCCACGTGGACGTGTTTACCCCTCTATCTGGCCTCCATCTAATCGCCACGCACAAGGCTCAGCGGCACCTACCTGCTGCCCTCTAGCGTCAGACGCCCGGCTACCTGGGCCGGCTCAGCGCTCATCAGGGGCCAGGCCGCGTTAGCAGGGCTCCGTCTAACCCTTACGAGAATCCTCAGGATGTGTGGTGATCCCCATTTTACAGACGAGCAGGTGGCAGCTCGAAGGTTGAAGACTTGCCCAGGCCACGCGGAGCTAGTTAAGTGGGGCTGAGGTTTAAATCCCCCAACTGGCGCTCCTTGCAGAGGCCCTCGCCCTCCCTGTGGGCAAGGCAACCCCTCCTACCCGGGTCTCCTCCACGATCTCAGCCCTAACCACAAGGGCCGCGTCCCGCAGACCACAGAGACCTGCGTAGGGACGGCACAGGCTGGCGAGGGGGCACAGACGGGTCCTGGGGCCTCTTCCGTTTCCCGTCCATGAAGACAAGGCCCTTTGGACTTACTGATCCCTCAGATCTTTACGCATCAAAGATGCAGCATCTGAGCATCTCTTTCCCCTCCTCCTTGGTTAATGCCAAGGTCCTGGGAGGCCTGGCCTCAAGGGAAAGGCCACGCCCCAGCCCCCCTTCCTTTAACCCGCTGTAGGACTAGGAGGTTTGTCTCAGGAATCTGCCTCTCGTCCGGGGTCTGACACTGCTGGGTGCCCCGCAGAGCGGAGGGCGTTAAAGGTCCAGGGTCCCTGCCACGGGCCACGGTTGGGAGCCGAGCTCTGGGGCAGCAGCTCCCCAGCCCTTCAGGGGCCTCCCCCACAGCCCGAGGCACGCCCTCTACCCTGTCCCTCGCCCTGGAATGTGGGAGAACCGGCTCCAGCTCCAGACGGCTCACGTGCTCCCCGCCAGCCCTCCGAGAGCACCTGGCTGGGAGAGGGCTGTGGAGGGGGCAGGAGAGGCGCAGTCGCAGGCCCACCTGGCGGGACAGCGGGGGACACAGCTCAGGACGCCTGGCTGTGAAGCTGCACTCAGGCTCCGGCTGCGGAAGGGGTCCCGCGGGGCCCCTCGGCGCCCCAGGGTCTGCACGGAGCGAGGAAGGACACCGCTGGGCGCAGAGCTGAGCGGCTGGGCACCGAGCAGGGCGCGGGAGGCGTCTGGCCGGCCCCCGGTTGTCCCCGCCTGTAACAGCGGCCAGGAGCAGCCAGGAGCCAGCGCCCGCGTCCTCGCTCCCACGGTGCAGGGCGTGCTGGGAGGTCTGCGCCGCCCGCCCGCCCGGCAGCCAGCCACCAGGGAGACCCTGGATCTAGGAAAACAAAGATCCTGAAATACTTCTGTGCGACCCTCCCCTTGCCCAACAACCTACCCCAAGTCGCTAACTGCCTAGATCCCCACGTGGAAATCAGAGCTTAGTGCCAGGTTCTGAACACTCTACTACAGACCACACAGAGCCCGTCACCCAGGACCGGGGAGGGCAAGGCCCCGCGAGGCCCACGGATGGCGAGAGGCTGCAGAGAGAGCACTCCAGTGCGCGCTTAGTAGCAGCAACGGTAAAGAGGAAGGGGCGGGCGGGACGCTGCATGGAGGCATGCGGCTCAAAGAGGTGGCCTCGGTGCCCTCTGTTTTCCACATGCTCCTGTGGGAACCCCACCTCCTCCAGCCCAGGCTCCTTAAGAACAGGCAGCCAGCGTCCTGCTCTGGGTCTCCCCCTAACCTGCTCAGAACAGAGAGCGGGGCCTGGGAGAAGGGATTTCACAGTCACCAAGATACTTTTCACTTAAAAATATTTATTAAAATAATGATTAAACCTGAAAAAGGAATCACCAGAAAGAATCAGCAAAAAAAAAAGAAGAGAAAAGAAAAGAGAGTAAAGAAAACCCTTCCTGCTTTTCCCGAGACCCAGGCGGGGAGGGCGAAGCCTGCCGCCCAACCCAGCCCAGAGAGCATGGAGGTTCCCGGTCGCACAACGGGTCCAGAGCCGTCCGGTCAGAGCAGAAGCCCAGAGTCCCAAACACCAAGCCCAGAGAACAGGTTACCCCACGGGGACGTGAACCTGGGAAGCTAATGAGAACTGGAATTGGCAATCTGCAGACGCAGAGGCCACGGTGGGAGCCTCTAGCTGCCCAGGGGCGCCAAGATCTGCTGGACGTAGTGGACCACGTTGCTGTGGAGGTGGGAGGCCGTGGCCGCGAAGGTCTCCTTGGCGAGGGTCTGGGCGGCCTCACTGCCCCCCATCATGGCGTGGTACAGTGGGAGGGTGTACTTCTGCTTGCCCTGCAAGAGACGCACGTGCTCGAGGCCCGTCAGCCTGCACGGTGGTCTGCAGCCCCCAGCCCCTGCCCTGGGCCCATCTGACAGCCTCGTGATCAGGGGCCAAAAGGGATACGGGTATCACTGCTGGAATGAGGGGCTTCCCAGACACGAGGGCTTGTGTTCCAGGATCTTCTTGGCAGCCAAAGATCCACGCGGCTAGGTCTCGGTATTCACCCTCCTGGAGATGTCTACACTCAACAAAACCGAGTAGGGGGTTGGCACATGGGAGCCTCCAAACTTTCAGAGCTCTAAGTGGTCGGGCACCGAGGCAACAGCTCACAGCAAAGGCTGCAGAGCCTAAGCCTAAACCAGGGCCCCAGAAGGGCCACCTGCAGCCTAGCGGAAGGAAACCCGTACCTTCACGTCAGCGCGAGACGGCCACACCTGACACCCAGAGACTGGGAAGCCTTCAGGGGCTCGAGAACCTGCCAGCAGGTGCCTGCCAACAGGTGAGGGAGTCTGCGTGTGGCTTGTCCACAGCCCGGCTCTGGATCTTGTGGAATGGTTCATCCTGAGGGCCATGGGCCCCTCCCTGGCAGGGCAGCGCTCCCAGGTGACCTGGGTCCAGCAGGCCTCTGGACCCTCCCAGGCCACCAGCTTCCCGCAGAGGAGGAACCTACAGTCTCACCTCCACTCACCTCTCCCGGTCTCCGGCCTCTCCCCGAGACCAGCCCTGCTGTCGCATGACCGTCCCTGCCTCGGGTCAGTGCCGCCCAGCTCTCTCCCCACAGGCCTCCCCGGCTGACCTGCAGGAGCTCCTGGCCCGGGGCTTCTCCCCAGGGCGGCACCACAGCCTGTTCACAGGACCCCGCCTGGCCCTTCAGCCCTGCTCCCGAGAGGGCGGTCCGAGAGGCCCGGCCTGCCGTGTGCGCGAGGGGCACGGGCAGGTGGCGGTCACCCACCTGGCTGTGCAGGAAATCCCTCACTTTCCAGAAGTCCTCCTGGTGGTCGTTCTTGAGGACAATCTGGCCCCATCGCAGCCGTAGCTCCGCGTTCTGGGCATTCGAGATCTTCGGGTACGTCTCTCCAAGTTTTTTCACGTTCCCTGGAGAAAAGAAGCGGGTCATTAGTGACTTCGCCAGCACACCATGAGCTGAGGCGGCCACGTGTGTGCCCGAGGCCCTCCGAGGGCACCCGGAGGAACTTCAGGGAGGCTGCCGACCACCCGCTTTTCCTGC